CCACTTACTATGGATTAGGCACTACTCTGTGCTCTGGAATCTCTGTTTTATTTGCTTAGAGATAATGATCCTAAGAGTACTTTGGCGGTAGCAAAATTTGTTTCAGTCCTTTTATTCCTTTTGTTTTTTTCTCCTGCTCAAAATTCATAAATCAATGCGCATCTAATAAAAGGAATTTCTATTGTACCATTTTGTCACATTCTCTATTTTGTTTAAATCCTCAGAAAAAAATACAAGCTTGGCCAAAAAAAAAAGTATAACCATGCCAAGATCACTTACTCTTTCTTGGGTTATAAATTTCTTTTATTACCTCTTTTATATCTGGCCTTTCTCTCCAGTGGGGACTCAGAGTGGATTATATTATTCTCCTTTCATTCACTCTATCATCACAACAATCCTGTGAGGTAGACTAGGCTGAAAGTGTGTGACTGGTACTAGGTCATCCCAGCATGCTTCCATGGCAGAGTGGGGATCCAGTCTCCCAGAGCTTAACCCCTATACAACACTGTACTCTAGTACAGTTCTTCTGCACTCCTGTTTTTGTTCACAGAAGGCCATGCTGCTTAATACAATTTAAGTGGCTTGCATTGAGACAGGGCTTTTTTGTAGAAAAAGCAGAGCAGGAACTCATTATCATAATAGGACACACCCAATAGCAGAAATTCATTAGCCTATTAGGCCACACCCCTGACAACATGGCTCATTAGCATATTAGGCCACACCCCATGCCTTCCCTTGGCTTGTGGGGCGCCCGGGCAAGCCCCCCCTTGAAGGGAAGGGAAGGCAGTTTAAACTGCCTTCCCTTGGCTTGCCTGGGCGCCCTGCGGCTGTGGGGAGCCTGGGCAAACCGGCCCTTGGAGGGGAGGGAAGGCAGTTTAAACTGCCTTCCCTTGGTTTGCCTGGGTGCCCTGCGGCTGTGGGAGCCCGGGCAAGCCAGCCGTTGGACAGGCTGGGGAAGGCACGGGGAGGCATTTAAATGCCTCCCCGATCCTTGCAGGGGGCCCCCTAGCCTGCCCACCTCAAAGTCACCAGGGAGGGGGGGTCGCTCTCCAGGCCTTTCCTCTGTAGCAATGCATGGAGAGGTTTTGGCTGTAGTGGGCGTAGCCAACTCTGAAGCCAGCCGAAACTCCGTTCCTGTGCGTTCCTGCCCAAAAATAGCCCTACATTGAGATATCATACTAAACTGGAGTTTAATGAAGCCATGGATTATAAAGTGTGGCTTTTTATAATATCTGAATACATCCGGTAGGTGGTAGAATCCTTTTTTTACATGATTCTTCTAATTATGGTTGAGATACTTGATGAAATGAGCATGAAGGTCATCAGTGGAGAGCTTTTGCCTTATTAAGAGCTGTGATCCAGAAGGATATAATTTCAAACTTCTCCCCAGCCAGACTCCCCTAGATGCCCTTAGGCAATCTCTCACTCATTTTCAAGACACTTATGGGTACAATAATTTTTACCTGTTGTAATGATTACGATTATTTTGTTAATATAATTATTTTTAATTACTGATGTTTTATCTTGTGATTGTAAACTGCCTTGGGAATCATAAACCCTAGATATTCTTGTTTAACCTCTATTTGAGGAATGGAAAATATTGCCTCTCAAACTGAATTATAACTATATAATTCTTATAACTATAGGGAATGTGTGAGTGTGCGCAGCTTCACCTAACTTAATGGCAGATTTTCTTAAACCAACCACTGGAGGGGTCACTGTTCAATAAGAAACAAGCAGAAAACTGTAAAACCATACCAGTATGAAGTTGTAGACTAATGAAGACTATTTATAAAAAACACTAAGGTATATTTTTTTCTTTTCAAATTTCACTCCACTAATATACAGTGTATTATCAAAAATCACTCTTATAACAATGTTACATCAAAGAATCCTATGATATAGGAAAGTCAATTTGTATAAATACCTTTTACAAAATTCCAAAATCCTGCCGTATATATTCAATGATACAATCCAAATAGTAGGACTTATATTGAAAATTTAAACATGAGTTAAAGAAACACAACTGTGTCGTTATTCAAAGTCTAAAATATACCAACAGAAAAAATCACAATCCTAAATTCTGATAAACAGACAAAGACTGTGGATTTATGCAGCTTCATTTCATACTCTCTTCCTCAGATCATGGACTGATATGAAATAATATCACAGTCAAATGATATTTACAATATAAAGATAGTTACAAAGATAGTTACAATATAATCTCAATATTGCCATGTCATAACTGGACCTAAAAAGAATTACTCAGTGGTAAGTTATATTATATTTGGATACTGTAGTTGAGATATGCATCATACTATGAATTGCAAAAAGGACTAAAATGAGGTTGTTTTTCCCTTTAGTATGAATTCTGGAAAATTGGATTATAAGAACAAAGGTTAATAACTGTGGCATCCAACAGACACAATGGATAGCCTTAGTAGCAGCTGTGTTCGTTTTTCATTCTTTTTAGGTCCAGCTATGACATGGCAATATTGAGATTATTTTGGAAATTTCCAATTTTTCTTAAACAGCCACCTAACCACTAAATTTATTCTTTGACTTACAAGTATACCTGGCCTCTTTTACCTTGCTTATCCCAAGACTCCTATTTACAATATTTATGGCACATGAGTTCATTTCTGGCATTGTATAATTGAACTGTGTATTCATTATTATTATTTATAAGTGGGGGGCCCCAACACTTATAGGGGAATCCCATCCCCCCATCGCCTAGGCTAGTGTGGCTCCGGGCCTCACCACCCACCTTTGAGTTCAGCAGCAGTGCCTGGGACCATCTTCTAGTATCCTCCACCACAGTTACTGGGCCTGGAACTTCTCCCAGTGTCCTCCACCATGGCAGCCAGGCCCACAGCCTCTCCTCCACTGCTGCTGTGCCTGGAACTTCTCCTGGCATCCTCTGCCACAGCAGCCAGTTGAGAGCAGCTCCCTGCGGTGGCCACAACCAGCTCTACCAGTAAGTGCATTGTCTGTGCTTGTGCAGATGCTTTTTTATTTTGGGGGCAATTTAAGCCCCCCAATATATTTTTATTAAGATTTCAGATTTTTCTGCAAACCTAAGGGAACCCCAAAGTTTGCATAAAAATCTCTTTAGCATTGGTGTGGTCCCCATCCACAAATTCAGGCATCTGCAGACGGGGCCAGACTTTACTGGCCACCATCCAGGGATAGATTAGTGTACTAATTATTATGACTAATGCTTGGATGGCAAAATATTGTATTACTTCGACTGAGTTCTAACAAAATTGTATGTCTTGCCCTTTCCATGCACAGAGGCATCTCTTTAATGATATGAGAATCTGCAGATAAAATGTTGACGTTTAATTGAAATGTACAAACCTTTTTTACTGCAGTCTAGTGTTTGTACAGGGTACAAATAATTGTGGCAGAGAGAGGGATCAAATTCAGGTCTGCTGACCTCAGGCTTTGGAACTACTAGATTGCTTGGGTCCAGTCTTTCCTCGTCAGTGCATAGTGATTCAGCTTTTATCTGTTTGAGCTTTTGACCTTTTCGTTCTGTTGGATGTCCACATTTAGCATAATTTCCCAAGTTCCTGTTTCTTGGAAGCTGTAGCATTGTTATAAGAGTTTCCATCTGACAGTTGCAATGCCAAGGATTATCATATAGGCGCAAGTAACTCAGAAGAGGCATATAAATAAATACCTCTTCAGACAAGACTTTCATCTGATTGTGCTGAAGTAAGAGTGTAGTCAGTTTGGTTAAACCAAAAAAAGCTTGGTCCTCAATTTTTGATATCTCATTCTGTTGTAAATCTAAGCTCTTTAGTTTTTTGTATTTGGAAAACATGCTGTTCTTCAATTTACGAATCCTGTTCCTTGCTAGGAGCATGTGTTTTAAATCTTCAGGCCAATCAGACAATACAAAAGTTAGTTTTCTTTCTTGGCAATCTAAGTATTTGTCATACAGATACGTGTATACATCACACGGGAGGACTGGGGTATAGCGCTTAACAGTGCTGGATGCCCTTCTTAAGCCATTTGCCCTTCCATTATTTGCTCTGTTTCGTGAACTTCCATTCCTTGTCTTCTTAGAGTCAGCTGCTTTACAAAAGAAGAGTAGTATTATAATTGTAACCACTTGCATCCTGACATCCAGCTGGTCCCAATTTCTTTGTAAGACAGCTGGAACAGTCAGAGTATTCCTCTGAAATCTGAGTTTGTAAGTCTTAAACTTATGATTGTGAGTCAAGGAGGCACAGCTGGGTTATTTGGAATCCCTGTGCTGGAAGAAATGCAGCATATTAGAAAGACATTTCTGTAGATGATGATAACATAAACTTGCAATCAGAATTTTGAATTAATCCACAACTTAACAGTTATTTTGATTAAGTTAGTAATGGTGTATTTCCCTATTAAAGAAAGATATCAGCTTCTCACTTCACATAAACTACAGTCGAATGTCACATAAATGCCCTACATTGGCCTGACACAGGCATCCCTGAGGACAAATTCAATATCTATTCATATGATGCAGAGTTCTCCCTAAATTAAAAAAATAGTTGGCTTCTTCAGATATAACAATCCACTTCTTTTAAGTATTTACCATGTTGTCCTACACTTCCAACATGGTATGATGTTATGTACAATTGTCCCTGGGACAATAGAGGGTTCATCCTGTCCTGCCTACATATAACAACAGGACCTGTCGCCAGACAAGATGCCTGGCCAGTAGTGCTTATTCTCTGTCAGCCTGGGGTCAGAAAGAGGAGGAAGTGGATCAATGAAAAAAGTGAGCCAACAGGAATTCAAGATTCTTTAGGGAGTACTTTAGGTAACAGAGTTTGTATTGTCCCAATCTTTTCTAGCACTGACTTTCAACACAAAAAATTAACTACAGGCTGACATTTTGCCTGTTGATCCAATCAAATCTGGGAACTGTCAGAAGACGACAGTTGCATTGCAGATGACAGCTTTTATAAGCAGCTTGTATAAGCATATTTAAGGAAACTTCTCATAGTATGAGAACTGAAATTATCAAAGGCAAAAATTACTGGCACTGTCAAGGTTTGTAAGAAACCATCTTTTCATGAGAAAAGTTGATAAAATTATTCTGGAATGCCAATAAAAGAAGACCTTTTGGGTCACTTACCATAAGACAGAAATGTGCCTTTAGAAACTGGAGTGAAAGGGACTCCTACTTTATCTCCTGTCCTGGATGTCAGAGCCAAACTAGATGTTAGCTTTACCCACGCATTTTTATGCAATTTTGTGTTTCATGCATTTTCAAGTGTTCCCTGCAGCCACACAGCAGCTGTAGGGAACTGCTCCTTTAAAAAAAAAAGTCCAAATGGGCTCAGAACAGTACTGCAGGGGGAGGGAGGGCTCCCCCCATCAAGTAGTTTTCTCACACACAAACCATGCTGCAGGGGGGAGTTATTTTGCCAGTTTTGCTGCTCCATTTGGAGTATCTATGCACATGCAGCAACAAAACTGGTGAAATAACTTCCCCACAGCATAGTTTTTGCGTGAGAAAACTGCTGGGGGGGGGGGAAAGGCAGGAGTACCTCTCCTCCCGCAGTGTTGTTCCAAGCCCCTTTGGATTCTCCTCCCCCTTTTTTAGAAGCAATTCCCAGCAGTTGGGGTGTAGCTGTGGGAAACACTTGAAACCATGTGAAAAAGGTAACATCTAATTTGACTTTGAGTCAATCAATCCTATCTGTAGTTGGTTGGATCCCAGGGAAGATTTCTGCATGTGCAACTGTCCTGATGTATGTGGAAACTGTCTTTGCTATCTACTTGCACTAAGTGAAAGCAGTTATATCCCCACTGGCTTTTCTGCATGCCCAAGTCAAAACACAAGGTATTTCTTCTGATACCATTACGAAACCATATTAAATGAAATCATATGAACCATCTGTTGTACATTCTATTGTTCCACATGCACATTGTTATTCTGTTAAATCCTAAAGTACTGTGTTTCTGTAACCACTGTGTTACTGCTTGCACAAGCAGAATACACTGAAGCACATTTTCCTGTCAACTTGTGCATTGTAACCCACTGTCACAGCCTTCAGTTATATTTTCAAATTCTGTATTCTATCCTATGACAATTAGTTTCTTAAAGTTAAGAGAGAACTTGTTTTTTAATTTATTTATATAATCCTCCACCTTTTAGCCTAAACCAGACTCTTATGCAGGGGTCATTTCGTAGAAAAAGAGCTAGGGGGACTCATTAGCATAACTCATTAGCATATGCCACACACCCTGACATCACCGGAAGTGTGTCCTCCCCACAGCCGGCGGCGACCTCCAGCGGGCACTAGCAGGGAGCTCCAGGCCCCGCCCTCCCGCACCTCACCCAGGGGGATGGCCTCCCCCCGCGTCCCCCCCCAAATGACCCCTGCTCTTATGGTATTTCAATAATTGTCTTTAATATTATCCTTTTCAATAGCATTACCAGTTTGGGACTGATATAACCTTTTGTTTTTCAATTAAGTCTAGCTTTCCATTTATTATTGTTGTTTATTTTAGGTCAGTGCCGGAATTTGCAAAAGTTAAATGTCTCCAAATGCCAAGGATTAAATGTAAGTATTAACGTTATAAGTGGGAGAAGCCTTAAACAGAATAAAAAGCAAATTTGAGTTTAAATTCCAGTTTCTACAGAAAAGTTGGAAGTCTAAATGTTATTTAAAGGGGGAATATACGATCCAGCAAGATATGCCTACAAATATTAAGAAGAAATATAGTCTGTGATCAAACAAGCAGTTTGGCCCAACACAGTCACCCCTCTCCTCCAGATCAAATGGGTGCAGTCACACAGCCACATCTGTCAGGCGTACTCTTGGTATACTCATACCATCATAGGATGACTTGGATCCAGGTTAAAAAGGCACAACATCACAAGTGGTGTTTTTGATTCCCCGCGCATTCATTGTGCATGGCCGGATGTCTGAACATGGAGGAGTGCGTGCAGAACAGATTTGGCATTCTGAACCTGCAGATCCATTCCTGCAGCTAGGAAGGTTTTAATTTTTTTTTTGCCTATATGTGCATGTGCATGCATGCGCATGAGCACATGTGTGTGCATGCATTTTGAAAAATTCTTGGCAGCACACTCCGTGGCTAAGGCACTGCAATAATGTGGATGCTTGACCACAGGATGTCACAGGATGGGTAACTCACAGCAGGGTGTGCTGTCTGGCTGATATGCCCCGCAACAATTTACACTGTGTGATCACAGCCATAGATTGAAAACTATCTCACCTTATAGTTTACTATCAAAGGAGCACCTTAACAGCTTTCAAGTTTCAAGCTGTATCAAAACAAAGGTTTTACTTGGTAGACAGGCTATAGTAGATCTGTAGTAAATGTTATCTTTTTGTAGTGCTTCAGGTTGGAAATCCCTCCCACCCCAAACCTCATAATCAAGTTTAGTTTATTTATGTTCTATTTCTCAACTAAAAGTCCCTATCTTCACAATTGCCATATTACTGTATCTAATAGAAAAATGTCTGGCCAATGCACAGATTATGAAAGAAGTAAAACCAGGCCACAAACAGAGTAGGGGTCTCTACCTACTTAGGGGACTTATGCAGAAAAAATGTGATTAAGACAATTAAACAATAAAGCAAGCCCCCCCCCAAAAAAAAAAGTGGCCTGGTAAGAAACTGATGTTGGTCATAAGAACATAAGAGATGCCAATGTTGGATCAGGCCAAAGGCCTATCCAGTCCAACACTCTGTATCACACAGTGGCCAGAAATACCAGTGCCATCAGGAGGTCCACCAGTGGGGCCAGGACATTAGAAGCCCTCCCACTGTTGACCCCCCCAAGCACCAAGATGACAGAGCATCACTTGCCCCAGAGTCCCTATCTATACATTGTGGCTAATAGCCACTGATGGTCCAGAAGCAATGAACTGTTGAGGCCAGCAGAGTGTCAGTTCAAGGAAGAGTATGGGGAGGAGGTGCATGAGAGGTGTAGGCCCTTGCCTATCTTCTATTTACCTTGTAGTGGTAGCAGCAGCATCCTCCCTTTAGCTTCACTTCAGCCTCATCAGCTTCAGCCATCTGAAGCTGCTACCTGTAAAAGGGTAAAATTGGCAACTGCCTGCTCATATGCTAGGGTTGCCAAGTCTGGGTTGGAAAATACCTGGAGACTTTGGGGGTGGAACCAGGAGAGGGTGTGGTTTGGGGAGGGGAGGGACCTCAGCATAGTACAATGCCATAGAGTCCACCCTTCAAAGCAGCCATTTTCTCCAGGGGAGCTGATCTCTGTCGGCTGGGGATCAGTGGTAAAAGCGGGAGATCCCCAGGCCCCACCTGGAGGCTGGCAACCCTATCATATGCATATTCTGTGGTGGCTCCCATCCTGTGCAATGGCCTGCCTGAGGAAGTCAGGAAGGCTGCCTACACTTCTGTTAGTTTGTAGAAGGTGCAAATCACAAACATTTAGGAGGACATTTTTACAAATGGATTAGAATGATAGTAGAATGAAACAGTTCAGGAGGTCACTTTTATAAAGGACAGGATTGTAGTCTATTGCAATGTTTATTTTATGTATCATCTTCCTTTTACTGCATTGTCTTCCATCTTTGTAACACAATTTCTAAATTATGATTTCTCAAGCCTGAGACAGTTTTTAATTTCCTGAGGCTGTTTTTTGTTTGCACTGTTTTCCAGTTCTGTAATCCTAGTCCTACTGCATTGTTTATTGGAGGTCTTTCCTCTTTGTTTGAATTGATGTTTACATTCTGTAATCTGCCTTGAGTCTCTTTTAGTGAGAAAGGTGGACTACTAAATAAAAAGAAATTAAAATAGTACTGCTGCCATAAAGCAAGGAGAGAGAAATAATTACACTTAATGTATCTCAGGGCAGTAGCAGCAGTTAAACAGGCAACAGAGCTAATGCATCTACCACTGTAGGCTGTCTGTCAGCTAGAGAGTCAGCAGTAACGAATGCCATCCTGTTACACAGAAACAGGTCATATATTATATTGCTTGAAAATAATGGTAAAAGAAAACGTTATTTATGATAAGGACAAAGAAAAGGTTAAAAACGGAGAGTAAATCAAGTTGTCACATGTGTCCCTGTATGGATTCACAATTTATTTTTTGTGTTCATTCTGATGGTCATTTTGGTGACCCATTTATTCATTAACAATCATTGCCAGTGAGGCATAGGGAATGCCAGCCTCTAGACTGATGTTTACTTGCTTCTGTAGCTGCACTAGCTACAACAGTATCACTACTGCTGATGCACTACTGCTGATGCAACAAGATACATCGGGGGTGCAGTAGGCACAGAATGGATTCTCCAGTAGAGCCCATCAGAGTGACAGGCATTTTCCATTGTTATTTAATTGATAAAGAGGTACAGTCTGTTGGATCAGGCTAAATTTTCCATTAGCAAAAGGGGAAGTGCAATTTTCACCAGTCCTGCCTTCTTGCTGCAGACCTCCAGTTTTCCCCTCATACCATCTCTGTCCTCTGGGAATAACATTTCAGGTAAATCAATGGGATTAGATGGGAGGAGGCAGGGGCAGGGAAGTTCTGGTATGCTGACAGATGTGCCTTCTGTTAGGAGAAAATTCAGCCTGGGTCCAACCTATTGTTTTAGAAAATTTATTGTTTAGAAAAAAAATCAATGTATTTTGCATATAACAGTTTAGCAGTGCAACTCTAATTTTATTCAAGGGTGTAATTTTGCTCAGGATTGCATATAGGGGGTTTAACTAGTAGAACATGGGCAGACAGTCTACTCTCTGGGTTGTGCATGCATGTGCACACCCCTCTCTGTTGTGAGTTACATGGCTGAGGTATCCCACTTTACACCAAGCAATCAAAGCTTTATTGATATAAGGGAGAAGGTGCAAGTGGAATGCTTAGAGAATCCAGGGAGAGCATACATACTTCAACAGAGTGGCAGACAACTAAAAATAAGCCACACATTGTAAAGCATATCATAACTACACAGCCCCTGAACCCATGTTAGCTCAGATAAATGTGTAAATTCTCTGGCTCAAAGCTTCTGTGCTCCATGTCCAGACATAGACTTCCCTGCACAGGCAGCCTTCTGCTCCTGTCCATGCTCCATGGAAAATATGTATAGCATTTCCTGTTGGCTAGGCTTTTGAATACACTAGCAAAGGAGCCACCTCTCACCTTGAGATTGGGCTGCCATTTTTATGGGAAACTTTGCAATTTCCACATCTGAATGGACATTTGGAAGTCATCAGTTTTGAAGAAAGTGATGGGCATGATTCCACACCTTTGCACAAAGAACCCAGATTGCATTAGCTAAATGCTTAGGGTAAAGATGCTGGCACAGTCAGCTAAACATCTCTGGGAAGGTTACCCATGGAAAGAAAAATCAAACAGTGACAGTAAGATATGCAAAAAGTAGACAAAATTACTGGGAGCCAAATGGGAGCATTGTGACAGCGATAGAGAACAAACAAAGTCACACACATGATGAGTACCATTTCCCCCTTCACACTTACCATCCTCTGATGGCAACAGGAGAGCTTTCAATCATAGCCAGAAATTTGTCTATGCTTGCAGAGCAGAGACAAGCAACCAGTTGCCTGAAGTGATGGAGTGCCGCAGATCTAGCAGTGTCATGAGCAATATTTCCTCTAAGCTGTGGAGTCTTGTGAGCAAAAATTCTGCTTTGTGAGCTACTGGCATTAAAGTTGTGAGCAAGAGACTTGGCTACTGCATAAATTAGTTTGCTCTGGAGCCATCCTTCCTGAACTAAGACAAAAATGTTTGAGCCAGAGGCTAAAAAAACTGTGAGCTAGCTCACACTAACACAGCTTAGAGGGAACACTGGTCATGAGATTGATTTTCTAGGCAGGGTTTATTCTAATGTGCAGTAGGGTGCACTTTTGGCAGTAGGAAAATAAAATGTGTAGTCATTTTTTGTGCAGTTGGCAGTATGGGCTTTAAAAAGGAACAAGGTTATATTTTAAGACAAATAGATGAGAAAAAAGATAAAGAAGTAAAAAATTAAGATGATTACTGTTCTCTCAGTCTTCATAACCATATATTAATAGGTATCTTATTGGGACCAACTACTTGAGACTAGTCAAAAGTATTAATTAACTCATATTGAACTCTGAAAATAAAACATTTTCTAAATGCAACAGTTACATAGTAATACAAATGCAGAAAACTTCCCCCATTGTGCCATGGGTCATGTCAAAATCTCCTTTGATTCGAGATGGTTGGATCATCACCATCTGGGATGAGGTGAGATGAGCAATATTGCTTGCCAACCTCTGAGAAAATGCCTTTAAATCTCATCTGCTGTCTTGCTTTACCTGTGTCTTTCGTTCTGTACTCTCGTTTATTCTTCCATAGAAACACCGATGCCCTTGGATCCCATTCAATCAGTGGTAGCATATTGTGATAGATTCATTTTCTGATTCAACTGAGACTCTGTTTTTGTGTATGGACTCCAGTGTGACACTTGTACTGATGAGATGTTGAACATCAGCACTATGATGCTTAGCTGCTAGAATATGGGCCATGAGAATGGTCACATTTCTGTATTCTTTGAGTAGTGCAAGAAAATGGACCATGGGACAATGTCATCTTGCAAGCCCCATCAATGTTTTCAAGTCAAAGTATCTCACCCTATTCTAGTGAAAGCTGTACCAGGTTGACGTCTGTACATAGCAACTTGTGAACTGCTTCCAGGTTTACCAAACGTTGCAATGTGGCAAATGGCTTCACAATCAGCAACAGATCACCATCAACTTCAAAGCACTGATTCAGGAGCTCAACAAGTGAGTCAACGACTTCATTGCAGACAGCACCAATATCTCTCTGTCAGATACATATTGGTGGTGTTCCTTGCATCTCTTCATCTGTTTTTTTTTTGTCACCTGAATTCCTTTCAGCATCACTGTTCCATCTGGCTAGGTAACAGCTTCATCCTTAAAAGCCTTGACCCACCCACCAAGCAAGGGCTGTTCTTTCAGTGCCAGCAGCTTTGATTTTACCAACAGTGTCAGCTGCTCTATATCAGGGGTGGCCAAACTGTGGTTCGGGAGCCACATGCAGCTCTTTCATATATATTGTGCGGCTCTTGGCAGGGCAGCTGGGAAGCGAAGGGGAGGCATACTTTTTCTCCCTCCCTCCCTCCCTCCCTCCCATCTATTTGCTTTCTTTGTTTCTCTCTCTCTCTCTTTCTTTCCACCTCTTTCATTCTTTCTTTCCACCTCTCTCTTTTTCTCTCTCTTAGACAAATCAATCTCATCAGCAAACAAATATCATTATCAATAACTGTTTCTACCACTTTTGTTTTTATTTTTGGCAATCTCATTTAATGTTAATAAAAGCAAATCTGTATATTTAAAAAAAACTTGAGTGTAGTATTTGTTTCTGTCTTGTGGCTCTTAGACATCTGACGTTTATTCTATGTGGCTCTCACGATGAGCAAGTTTGGCCACCCCTGCTCTATATCAAGGACGGTGACACCATCTCCTTGCATTTGTTTCTGGTACCTACTGAAGACAGTAAGTACATCAGCCAGAAAGGACATAAGTAAGAGGTTGTCTTCATCAAGGAGGAATGCAAAAAACCCATGTGCTGCCATCTCCTCAGACTTCTTCATGAGAAGGACTATGGAATACCAGGACACAAGGACTGAATGTACTAGTGCGAAGGAAAACTGTCAATCTGACCTCAAAAAGCTGAGGGAGTGCAAGGAGAGAGTAGTGGTTGGCTTCTGGTTATCTATCACCAACAAGGATACATGCTTGAAGATATGTCTAGCTGCTTTGAATCCAGCTGTTGCTGCAAGCACTCTCAACTGCATCCAGCACTCTTCTTGCACCACGGCTACAGAATTCACTAGCACCTAGAAAGTACTGCTTTTTATCACCAAATCTTGTAATGTCTTTCATCACTACATAAGTTTTGTCAATTCTGGTTTGGACCACAGTGCCACCACACCACAGGGACACTGCCAGTGTCTCTTCTTTCAGTGTCTTGATGAGACTGTCACTGTCACTTTCTACAGTATACTGCAGAAATTCCTTGTGGGCATTGGGAGTCAAGTACTGAAACTCCATCTCAGTCTTGTGTGCCACTTCTGCAGTATCACAAGAAAAAACAGTGGCTAACCTACTTACAACTACTCTTGCAGGAAATTAGTATGCACTCATTTTCTTTGCATTTCCATAAGTGTTCAGGAGGAGGACAACAACTTTATCTGCCAGTTTTTCATTGGCCTTGCATATTGCTTTTCCCATAGAAGAAATATATGATGTCTCAACAGGTGTCAAGATTGAGAGACGGAGTTCTTCAGTGTTTTAAATGTGATAGGATTGTTCCACATGTTTCTGAACTCAGTCCTGTAAATAGTCCCACATTCTTTTGAAATAGGGGGCACTTGCATAATCTTTGAAAATAATTTTACTGTGTCAGGAGACTTGAAATATGTTCTACATCAAATATAGTGTTGCCATTTCAGTGAAAACATTTGAAGGTGTTGTCTAATTTGTAAGCTGGTTTCATTACACCCTTCTGACATGACACTCCACCATCAGACATAGTTGGCTTGGACATATTGCTTTCAGCATTTCCAACAACAGTGTGAGTGTCCCCAATTTCTTCCTGATTATTGGCAGATGAAGGGGCATATGAGAGCACTCCTTGTGCAGCACTAAGTGTATTTGCATCAAAAACATTAGAGGTTCATCAACAGTGAAGATGAGAATGTAGTTGTGAATGAAGTTCCAGCAAGTGGTGTATAAGTTGGACTACTATTTCCAGCACCTACAGTTCTTGTTAGCAGCCATTCAATTGATTTCTTCCTTCTCTGCTCTTTAGCAGAATAGGTGTCTAGGTGACCTGAGCAAGTCTGTGGAGGTCATTAACTCATATGGCCATAATTCAGAAGTGACTTGATGGCACTTAACACACACAAACAGAAGCCAGTCCCAAAATTTAGGAGCCAGACTTCTATTTCAGTGTTATTTATGACAATATTTTCTAATTATTCCTGCCACAAAAATACTAGAGTCACAATGAAATTTCTAGGTGGCATGACAAGCTGGCTCCTGGGATTTGTCTAGTCTTCTACTATAGAGCACACAAAATCCATTACTGTCCCATATGATGATTTATAATGCACTGTGTTCACATTATCTATCCCTATCAGATACTCGGCAAGATCAGCTTGTATAGCACTAATTACCTATTAGGGAGGGGGGGGGAATGGTTCCAGCCTCTGTTCCATCTACAAAATACTATACCATAAAAGCTGACAGGTGAACATATGCAGCCCACTGCTGGTCAAGAAGATCTTTGGATTGTGGCCATTATCTGCTTCAGTTCCTTTTTATGTTTCAGAAAATATGCTATTAATTACAGGATGACCAGCACACTTTAAGGTGGACAGTTTGAAAACACATTTCCCCCCAAAATGCTAATTACTTCTGTTTCATTTATATTTTGCATTATGTCCTGAATTTGGCTGTAGGAGGCTGGCCATGTAATTATATTTAACATTACAAGATGTCTATGTATTGAAGTAAAGTGTAAAATGTTAAAAATGCTTTGACACACAGCTATATTAATTTACTTCTATGAAACCAAACTAATTCTATTTATGGTTTTCTTTGTTAAACAGGATGAATTAATGAGGCTTGTATCAGAAGGCTGCCCAGCTCTACTTCATTTAAATTTATCTCACACTGATATTACAAATGGGACATTAAGACTTCTATCAAGGTAAAAGCATACTGATCATTTATAAAGAAATCTGAATTTTAAGATAACATTATGAAGAAAAGTTGGACCAGATCTCAACTTTCTCTGGATTCCATTTGTTTTGTAAAGATTAGCAGCTCACATGAATAGGGATGGGCATGAACCACATTTTTGCAGTTTGGTTCATAGTTTATGGCTGAACCATGATCCAAACCACATACCCATATGAATTGGGAGGCTGGTTTGTGAACTGAACTGGTTTGTATTGGTTCATGAGTCATTCAAAGTTTAAACCCCTGCTTTCTGCTCCCTGAGAAAGAGTGGTGGGAAGCAGAAAGTAGGAGTTTAAATGGCTCCAAGCCATTTAAACCAAACAGCTGAGAGGCTAGGAGCTCCCCACTGCTCAGCTTTTTAGTTAAAATGGCTCAGAGCCGTTTAAACCCCTACTTTCTGCTTCCCACCACTTTTTCTCAGGGAGCAGAAAGCAGGGGTTTAAACATTAAGTAGGGAGTGAAATGCCTCCTAGGCTTTTCCTGGCCAGCAGAAAGCAGAGGGTGAAATGCCTCCCAGGCATTCCACCTCTACTTTCTGCTGGCCAGTAAAAGTTGCAGCCAGCAGAAATCTGGGGGAATACCTGGGAGGCATCTCACCCCCTTGTAGGCATTTCACCTGAGATTTCTGCTGGCCAGGAAAAGTTGCAGCCAGCAGAAATCTGGGGGAATACCTGGGGAGGCATCTCACCCCCTTGTAGGCATTTCACCTGAGACTTCTGCTGGCCGCAAAAAACTGTGGTCAGCAGAAAGCTGGGTATGAAATGGCTTGGAGCCATTTAAACCCCTACTTTCTGCTCCCCGCAGCTCAGCTGTTTTTCATTAAGAGCAGAAAGCAGGGGTTTAAATGGCTCCAAGTTATTTAACCTCCTGCTTTCTATTCTTCACAAGCTACTATGAACTGCCATGAACAATATCAAAATATGTGGAAGTTGTGGCGGCTCCTTAGTTCACAAACATGGCTTCATGAACTGCCCAAAATTCATGATGAACTTCAGTTCGTGAGCCGGTTCTTGGCCATCCCTACACATGAGCCTGCCTTATTCAAGTGCCACATGAAATTTTGTGTGGGAGAAGAGCTCCTGGGGCTGCAGCATTGTGTGCCCAATCCAGATAAGGGCCTCACAGCAGTTTTTAAAGAACTACAGCTGCTTCTAATATATAGATATAGGCACTGTGGACTATATTACTATGTATAGTAGTATGTACTGCCTGTTGCTATAAGTATGGGCCTGCTATATGCTTTGTTTAATCTTGGTTTCAGCTCTCTTTTCAGATTTCTGGTGTTCAGATTTCTATAGTTCAAACCTTATTGCATTGTTTATTGTATGTTCAATTCCTGGTGATTTAAATTCTCAGGCAGCAAGATCCACCTTGATTCTCAGAGAGAAAGGTGGACTGTAAAAAATGTAAATAAGTATTATACACATGCATACACACAACTTATAGAGACTAAAAAGCCTGAGGAAATATCAAGTTTTACTCTGTGTTTAAAGGTATCCAGAGAGGGTATCACCCTGACCTGGATATCACAAGCTAGCTTGATCCTGTCAGATCTTGAAAGCTAAGCAGGGTTGGCTGTGGTCAGTATTTGCACAAAAGACCACCAGGGAATACCAGGGTCACTACACAGAGGCAGACAATGGCAAACCATCTCTGACATCTCTTGCCTTCAAACCCTACAGGGGTGCCTTGAAAACCCTATGGGCTGCAACTCGACAGCAAAAGAGGGGGGGGGGATATCAGGAGAACCTTGGGGCTGGGGAGGATTCAGTAATTGTGGGGCGACCACCTAGAAGAAGTGGTAGAAGGACTGTCCTGAATATTTATTTATTTATATTTCTACCCCATTTTATCACCAATGTGGACCCAAAGTAGCTTTCAGCATAGTTCTCTTCTTCTCTATATTATCTTCACAACAACTACCTATGTGGTAGGTTAGGCTGAGAGAATGCTTGACCCAAGGTTACTCATGGGAATTCCAGTCCAGGTCTGCCAGATCCTAGTGTGGTACTCTAACTGCTCCAAAAGAGCTTAGTAGATGGGACAGATGAAATAGGAATATGTAGTTTTTTAGATATTCTATGCCCAGACTATAAATGGCTTTAAAGATTGAAAGTAGCCTGTGGCAGAACAGTCCTGCTCTGGCCTTCAGCCCCTGCTCCACCCTGCTCTCCTGGGCTTCCCAACAACTGGAGGGGCTTTTCTCCTTCTCAGTTCAACAACCGCTGCCACCTGATCTTTGTAGGAATTGCCCCACTGGGGGGGTCAGGACTCCTGTATATTTTGTCTATAAGCTTTTTTCTAAAAAAGAAAAAACTTGTAGTGTAATTGAGGAGCTACTATTCCATAAGTGCCTGATAGCAAACATTTTGAGGCACTTATACTCAAGATTAAACAACCTATTTTTTGTAGGTTTCAGGACCTTATATTGATAGATCGGTTTAGTGTACACAGGCAACAAGTGGGAGTAGATTTGTTCTAGCTTGCAACAGCTATCATGCACACAAGATCCTACAGTAATTTCTCTCTTAAGAGCACAAAATTTATCTGAGAACATCAAGGTTCTACACAAAGTATAGTTTTCAGAACTCCATTTTACTGCTCTCAATTTCTTGGGGTCTTGACAGATGGGTATCAGATGACTATTTTGGGCATCCCCATGGTCTACTTAAGACCATTTAAAACAATCAATTTTTTACTATGTATAAATGTGGCCATTAGTTCACCAGACAAATTGACCTTGTTATCCTTAGATGATCTATAAAGGTGGTTACAACCAATGTTCCCTCTAAGCTATGGAGTCCTGTGAGCAGAAATTCTACTTTGTGAGCTACTGGCATTAAAGTTGTGAGTGAGCGATTTGGCTACTGTATAAATCAGTTTGCTCTGGAGCCATCCTTCCTGAGCTAAGACAAAAATGTGTGAGCTGGAGGCTCGTTTCCTCCATTAATATTCCCAGAGACACAAAATGAAAGACTTCTAGGGCAGTGTCAGTATGTACATTAAATCACCTGCAAAAATAAACGATTCCTTAGGCTATCTGCACATCAAATAATATACATAGTTATTAAACTGATCCCAAAGAGTAACAGTTGACTTCTTTACTTGCTGTGGAAGCAAATAAACGTTTATTAAGACCAATGTTAAGGAGCCTATCTCAAAAAGAACTGTTAATGCCCAAGGGTGGGGGATTAGCAAGTGGGAGGCTTTTAAGACAGTGATATCAAACTAAGGAGACCCCCTGAGGGTCTTCCCATACCACCACCAGATTGAATAGCATCAAGTGGCAGAGGTCCAGCAGTGGCTATTAGCCACAAGGTATAGATAGGGGCTCTGGGGCAAGTGATGCTCTGTCTTCTTGGTGCTTGGGGGGGGTCAACAGTGGGAGGGCTTCTAATGTCCTGGCCCCACTGGTGGACCTCCTGATGGCACTGGTATTTCTGGCCACTGTGTGACACAGAGTGTTGGACTGGATGGGCCTTTGGCCTGATCCAACATTGGCATCTCTTATGTTCTTATGTTCTTATGTAAGTGAATAAGCCTGAAAGCCAGAGAACAAAATTTTATCTAGGGCCCAGATCTCCTGAAGAAACACAAAGTCATTCTGTGCCAGTAGTTCTTTAATTTTTGGGGAGGAGCTTTTAAATTTCCATCTAACAATGTTCCAGGACAGCATTTTCAAACACTGGCCCCTTGGTGCATATTGGGAGAATTAAGAGTCCAGGACCTTTTCCTAAGAATTCCATCCCCACCTGGCTCAAGAACGGGTATGTGTGAAATGGGCAGGAACCCTATAGAGTGTCTGACTGTCTGTGTGCCTCTGTGTGTGTGTGTGTGTGTGTGTGTGAGAGAGAGAGAGAGAGAGAGAGCTGTTCCAAAGTACCTATGGTTTATTAAAAGAAAACCATACTGCACAAATTTTCAAGCAAGTAGAAATTTCAGGATTTGTCTTACAGAAGGGAAAGGACAAATAGTGCACTTATTCATTTAGGAATTATTATCTGTTTAGGAATGCATTCCGGCCACTCTGGCAAGACCTGACCACAGTGTTGACAGAGGGCCCTTAGCATCTCAAACACTGGTGTTAAATACCTTTAGAATTCAGATTAGCTATCAATCAAGAAATCGGATGGTCCTGATGAAACCCAGACCCTTCCTTTTCTGACCAGAAGACTCTGACTGGACTCATTGTATTACTAAGTTAAAAATACCTTCCCTGTCAAGGCAGAAGCGCTTGGAGCCACAGGTCTGTTTTGGCTTCAAGGCTGGAACTCAGAAATGTAAACAGTTCTGTTAGAGCAGAGTGCAGGGTGCATTGTCAGGCTGAAGAGCCTCCTGCAAAGCCTTATGGGAGAAAACCAAACAGAGACGCCTAAGCCGATTCAGGCTGCTGTACAGAACTGCCCCATCTTGCTTATAATTCTGCCACAGTACATTTCACACATTTCCCAGTAATTGGCTGGCATGCATTTTTTGAGAGAATCATTACAAAATTTAGTTTGTCCAGTTAGAGGACCAACAGAGCAATCCTGATGGGGGGGGAGGGGCAGAACAGGGATCTGACTGACCCCTACGCCAGTGTATTCCAGAGATGTCCCTTATGATGGGGCAGTGGAGGAGGGTCTAGGGGAGCAGAGGCCACTGATCCCCCCTGTCATTGTGGCTGGGTGTGGTGTTGAGGCTCTTGTCACGTTCCCACTGCTCCCCTGGAGGTCTCCTGCTGGTAGCCGTGGCATCTAGAGTCTACTAGGGAGCGCCCCTCCCGCAGGGTAGGTTTGGAGCCAGCAGCAGGGGAAGGGTGTGTGGACGAGACCACAGGAAAGTCTTTCAAGGTATGAAGAGGAAGGAAGGCCTCAGACCAGGGGCGCACTTCAGAGCAGTTGCACCACCGTTCTTGGCCCCTCGGAGGTTTGGCTGCCTCTCCTTCACCAGCCCTCTCTCTCTCTCTGTGCCTTCTGCCGTTTTCCC